TTTGGCTACTAAAATTAATTTAGTCGCCAAAAGTCAGCCCTTTGGCGACTAAAATTTGAATTGGTCGACAATGTTTCATATTTTAGCTACTAAATTTTTTTAGTAGCCGTATATTACTTATTGGTGACTAAAACATAATTAGTAGCTAAAAAATGACCCAATCAGCGACTAAAAAACAGTTAGTCGCTAAAAATAGCCCAATAGGCAACTAAAATACAACTAGTAGCTAAAAAGTTACTCAATAGGCGACTAAAAATGACTTAGTAGCTAAACAATGACCCAATCAGCGACTAAACAACAGTTAGTCGCTAAAAATAGCGCAATACGCGACTAAAATACAATTAGTAGCCAAAAAGTTACTTAATAGGCGACTAAAAATGACTTAGTCGCTAAAAAATTAACCTATAGGCGACTAAAAAAATTTTGGTCCCTAAATGTATAATCTTTATCTACTGAAAATAATTTAGTCGGTATTAATTTACTTTTACCTACTAAATTTTAGTCGGCGATTATAATTAAAAAATCTTAAAATTGGACTTCAGATTTCGGAGGGAAATTTAATTGGCTACTAAAGTCGTTAGTCGGAAAAACGTCATTATTTATTATTGGTGACTACAAAAATTAGTCAGGAAAGAAATCTATATATAAAAAATACAATTCCACACGCTCAGCTGTCTCTCACTCTGTGACTCTCTCTCTCTCTCTTTCTCACTCTCTCACGCCTCTGCCCTCCTCCAGCTCTCTCTCTCGCCTTTGTCTCCATCGTCGTCGGGTATGGGAGCATCACCGCCATCACACACGAGCACCATCGTCAATTGATGGGTCTGCTCAACTAGGTATTGTTTGTGTTATACCTATACCTATACTTCAAATTTTTTAAGAAGATTCGAAAGTCGTTGATGGGTCTGCTCAACTCCGGAGATCAACGGCCCTTCGATGAAATCATGGCGGATTTCAACTCCAATTTCCCTCGCCCCCTCCATTTCACTCTTTGCTCTCACCTCTCCTATCTCTTAAGGGCAACTCTCTCTCTCTCTCTCTATATATATATATATAATTTTTTTATGTATCAATTGTAATGGAGATTTTCATACTTGATTAAGATAACACAATGTTTGGGAACTTGGGTGAGAAAAGAAAAGAAAGGATCACTTAAGTTATAAGAGAAAAGAAAAGAAAAGAAATGATTGTGATTTCTTTCATTTTTGTTTGGATAAGGAAGAAATAAAAAAAAAAATGATTGCGATTTCTCTCATTCTTGTTTAGTTAGATTTCATTGAGAGAAAAGAAAATAAATTATTTTATGTTATATTACCAAAATAACCTTTTTATGTTTTCAATCATTTTATTTCCTTTATTTTTATAGGAACAAAATTGGTATTATGAAAATAATGGTTTCTTTTCTCTCCCAATCTCCACACTTTTGGGAAGATTGAAAATGAGGCTTATAAGAGAAATAGGTTTCTCTCCATTTCTTCCTATTTCTCTCCACTAAAGTTATCCAAACAAATAAAAAAATACATATCTCTTCATTTCTTTTCTTTTCTCTCCAAATCACTCAATCCAAACATAGCGTAAGATACTAAATTTAGCTGATTGGAGTTTAGATGTAAGAATTTGGAGAGTTAGGGCTTTGTTTATTGGCCATATGAGGTGTTGGGTTCTGAGATTGAACTTGGAATTGTTGTTAGGTTTTGTACGCAAACACGAATATGCACACTGTTTGGTTTTTGAAAATTGAATTATGAGATTTTGGGAATTTCTAGTATGGGTGCTTATTAACACTGAAAGGGGGCTAATTTTGCTCTTTATGCTAGTCATAACTTTCGTATCAATTGAAATTCTAATTCAACTCAACTTTATTTTGGGGTTTCACTAATCTTTGCTTTCTTTTTTCACTTTATTCATGTTCTTTTTCTTCTTCTAAATTTTTTTTTTTAAAATTTATTTTTGGTTAGGGTTTCACTTAAACATTGCTAGATGTCTACGTACTAATCTGACTGCTCTTTGCTTGCCCTTTTCTTGCTTTGTGTTTAACACTGTGTGAGTGAAAAAGAAGACAAATGAATTAGGGAAAAAACATTGAGTATGCTATCTATTTGTAATTTTAAATGAAAAGATTGCCATTCCTCATATCTTTATTTGTTGGACCCTTTGCAGCTCTGTTATTTCGCATTTATCATTTCACTGTCTAATTGAGATGGCATATCATCATAAATTATTTTTTGGCATAAGTAAATTTGATCATCTGGTTGGATGCAAGCCTTATTCTCCCTCATTTTCTCCCTGAATTTTATATTAAATTTTGCGACCTCATAGATACCTAATGTGAATGATGAATTTTCTGGGTTGTGGTATTGCTTGGTGATTGCTAATAAGCTACATATTGTTACAGAACAACAAGATGCTTAAACCTACTCAACGTTTGGTTACTCTTGCTATTCTAAATCAGATTTATTCTTCCGAGCAGTCTTCTTCAAATTCGTTTATACCTTTCCTTATAAATGTAAGTATACTCGCCATGCTTGATATTTAGTTGCTACAACAAGCTACTCTAGATTCTCTTAGGGACTGCTGCTAAGTACCTAATAGTGCATTACGGTTGAAACACATTGAATACTATCATTATGAAGAGATGGGAACTCTTGTTGTTAAGGTAAGCGTGGAATTACAGAAATATATTACTGGCAAATTTAGTTTCTGTTGTTTGGATAAAAATTGAAATTTGAATGCACCTTGTAATTGTAGCCTACCTTTGCACGATTATAATTTATATCAACAGTAACAAAACAATACATTTGAATTGAACCTCATATCTCAAATGCTAATGACTCTTTGGGGACCTATTTCCCTCTTGAAGTAACACTCACAAATTGATGGTTACCTATTTCCTATATTTGTGAGTCTTGGACCTATTTCTTTGTGTTACTGTATGGTTTCCATATTGTCTTTTTTGGTTTGTTGAGGAAAACTTGATTGAAGCTTTTGCTAATCTTGTGAATCACTAAAACTGCTTGGATTCCTTGGATTGAGGCACAGATGAAAATTTTATACTGTGTACTTCAAAATATGTAAAGTGTGTATTTTGTTTCCATAGCCACATACTTCAAAATAGGATGGAGAATTCTTGAAATCCCTTTAGGAGAATGCTATGATGTGATCGTATGCACCTTATGCAAAAAACATAACTTCATTTTGTATAACTTTTTTTCTTCACTATAAATATAACTTTTTTGCTTCTCAGAAAATATATAACTTCTCTCACAAAAAGCATACTTTAGTTATACATAACTTTTAGGTGCTCATTATAACTTCAAAATTCATAACTTTTATCACAAAAATCGTAATTTTTGTCTCACAAAATATACAACTTCTCTCTCAAAAATTATAACTTTTCCTATAACCTCTCCCATATCTTTATGATTCTTGGGGCTCTTTTTGAGTTTTCAAATAACCAGTTTGTGGATTCAGATGCTATGGCCCTTTGAATCAAATAAAATAGCTGTGCTTTGGTTTAGATTTTCGTTGATCTGGGATAATTTCTGTGTTTTTAAGATATGGAATTTCAGACTTTATGGTTTTGTTTACCCTCTTCTACTTTCATCTATTGAAAGCACTTAATTCTTGAAAAATTAATTGTTTTTCTCTTCAATTCATTTAATTCAAGTAATGTGTGAAACAATCTTTAGATCATATTATGCAGGACCATTCAATTTTGAAATAGGAGAGACAAAGGGAAGCCTTCCCAAACTACATTACTGGATGTCAAATAGTTGGTCCAAGGTTATAAATTTGTTTTGAATGTCAAATAGCATTTATATTACCCATATTTCTTAAATAAGCTCCTAAATTGATGATCTTTGTTTGCCAGGTTTCCAACACCATATATTTGGACTCTCCAGTTGGTGTTGGATTTTCTTACTTGGGAAATAAATCCGATTACATTACTCTACATGAAAGTCACAATTTTATAATTTGTTTTCTTTTGAAGCATTATATTTATTTTCTTGCAACTGAATTTGGCAACTCATTAGTTTTGGTGTATAGACTACAATATTATAGAGATTATTTTACAAAAAAATGGTTTCCAATAAAATCCTGTTCATTCTTGGAGCACACAAAAATTGATTTTCCAAAAACAAATCATATTATTTTCCATGCTGAAGAGAAAACTTGCTTTTAGTATGCTTTGTTTGGTTGTTGGAGTAAAAAACACAGCACCAATCATATTATTTTCCATGCTGAAGAGAAAACTTGCTTTTAGTATGCTTTGTTTGGTTGTTGGAGTAAAAAACACAGCACCAAGTGATTTCAAAAGATAGTATTGAGCATGTAACTTGCTATGGTGAGAAAGCAAGTGATTTCATTGAATTTTCATTAACTGCAGTGATTTATTCTTGAAAGAGCCTAAAAACATATATAATTTCACAGGTACAGATATACACTAAGACCAAGGAAATTATTATTAAATTCTTGTATAGCCATGTTCACAAAGACTATAATTAACTACATTTATGGACTAACCATTTGCTGTGCAGGTCTAAGCCAACCCTGCTGTAGAAGATTAGACAAATCTCTAGCAATGGTAGCTCGACCAGACACCCACACCTCACTTGATTCATTGTGGTCATCTTCAGGCATAGAGTCTTCCCAACATCGAGTCATTACTGGTAATGCTATAAAGCCCTGTTCAACCATCTATTGTGAACCAGTGCCAGTTCATTGCTAAAATTCATTATTTATAGAAGCACTGTTAAGAGAAAACTATAAATATCTTAACTATCAGGAAGAAGGACAAAAATACACGCACAGTTAAATAACCAACTCTATAAATTGCAACCATTTCTGATATTCTCCATAGATATCAGAAATTTGAAGGACTAAATGTAATTGAAATTTTAAAGATGAAATAAAGAAAATGGTGATAGTTTAAGGGATAGAAGTGAAATTAATCTGTTGAATTATTCATTATTTTTAGGCTAATATTTTGATTAATTTGAATTGAATTTTGGTTTCAGAAGGAAGATTTAGGGACGATTTCACGTGGGATTTTGTATTCATCTTTTACGGTTTTTTCTTTGGTTGCTGCATTGGTTGCTCGATTTCTAGGGTCGAAAAATGCTCTTATTCTTGGGACTACTGACTATTGGTTGTTCATAGCAGTGAATTTGATACCAACATGGTAATTAGTTTCTCGTCATAGATAAATTTCCTTACTTTTGTTCAGGACAAACATGATAATTAGTTCCTGTCAATTTTTGCAATTTATACTAAAAACCGTGTTAGATGTCAAAAGTTAAACACATATATTATTAATATTTGTTAAATTTTATGTTGCATCTGGATGGAGAAATAGGTAGATAATGGGAAGCTTATATTAATTTACTATTTCTTTATCGTAAGAAGATTTACAATTTTTTGTTGTCAAAATTATTAATATTTGTGGTGATTTATGCCAGTCTGTGGTGATTTAGAGTTGAAAATGTCATTAATTTAGTCGACAAAAAGGGGTTTGGGGGGCGAAAATGCGAAACAGCCCCCGAACCACTATTGAAAATGTCATAGAATCGATGTTCGTCTACCATTCCGTGTTTGGGTGTCTTTCATTAGTTAATAGCTATTACTCTCCTTGTCTTTTCATGTTTGAAATTAATATAGTTGCTATATGTTGTCCGGAAGTGCTTTTATAGGCACCAAACTAATGACATTTTTTTAATTTGCAGATGGTTTTGGACATACAAATGTGGATATGATTTTTTTTGAAAAGTACGGTAGGGCAAACAAATGTGGATATGGTTTTGGACATACAAATGTGGATATGATGGTTTTGGACATACAAACTAATGATTTGTATTATATATAGAAATGAAATGAATGGTTTTGGTTAGTCCTGTATTATGTATGAAATGAAATTATTGACGTTGGATTAGACTTGGTTCGTATGGAATTTGTATTATATATAGAATTGGACGTTCAATATTAATGTTTTGGATGGTTGGAACTAAAATGTGTGCACATTGTTGAATGCTTGATAACATATTTAGTGTTGATGGATTATATTGTTTATACAGGGTACAGGTTGTATTCATAATGGATACAGGTTGTTTAGAAATTTTTATTTTTTTTTTAAAAAAAAAACACGTTAAAGCATTTGGCTACCAAATATTTTGGTAGCCAAATACGTAATCAAATGTTTTGGTGACTAATAATTTAAAAAAGTATTTGGCTACCAAATATTTTGGTAGCCAAATATGTAATCAAATATTTTGGTGACTAATAATTTAGTTGCAAAAACATAACCAAAATTTTTTTTGCTACTAAATAGTTAGTAGCTAAAACAATTGAGAGTGAGAGAAATAAACTATTGGCCACTAAATTTTTTAGTCACGGAAAAAAAAGGGTATTATTTGGCGACTAAAACATTTGGTGGCAAAAAGTAATGTATTCTATTGGTGACCAAAATATTTAGTCTCTAATAGTTGGTTAAAATTTTCATGTAGAACTTTTAGTGACTAAAAAATTAGTGGCCGAAATGTCACGTCTGCCGACTAAGTACGGATTCGTAGCCAAATATTCACTTTCGGTGACTAATTTTTCGTAGCAAAAAGTTAACACTTTCCCCGACCACACGAATGTTAGTAGCCAAAAGTCACATTCGGCGACTACTGGTTTTAGTGGCGAAAAGCTAACATTTGCCGACCAAATGAAGTTTAGTAGGCAAATGTTACACTTTCGGCGACCAAATAAAGTTTAGTCGCCAATACTATCGCCGACAGGGTATAGGCGACGAACTTGGCGACAAAACCTTTTAATCGCTAAATCGTTTCAGCGACCAAATTTCTGACTTTTGGCGACCAATATTTTGGTAGCCAAAAGTGACATTTCTTGTAGTGAGAAGAGAATAAGAGAATATAAGATAATGAGGGAAGGAAAAGTAGAAAGGAAAAAAATAAAATAAAAAAAAGTGGGTAAATACATATACAAATGCAAACCCATTTGTATATATATACATATATATCTATATAATAAGGGAAGAGGGTTTTTGAATTTATCCTAGAGACAATTGTCCTACTAGGACATTTTAATGATCATGATTCATTTCTGTATTTAGATGGATAGCTGAGATGAAAACCTTCTCTCTCACTGTACCTAGACTTCCTACCCCAGAGCCAAAAACTTTGCAACCACCCATCCTCATCTGTCGCACCTCACTTTTTCACATTTTAAATTTCAAAACACAACCATCCTCATCTCCTCTTTTTGCAACCACCCATCCTGATTTCAAATTTTCAAAATTTCAAAAAGTCTAACAAGCACCCATGCTAATTTCAAAATTTCCCACGCTCAATTTTGCAACCACCCATTATCATCTCCTTTTTTTTTTTCTTTCAGTATCACTCCCAATTTTCAAATTTCAAAACACCCACGCTCATCAAACTCTCTATAAACTCTCATCTCTTTGTCTTTCAATCTCACTCCCAATTTTCAAATTTCAAAACACCCACCCTCTCTCTCTCTCTCTCTGTGTGTCTTATTTCCCACCGCAACACCGGTACATCTCTCTCTAACGGTGATACATCTCTTTCCGACGACTCTCGCGCGACTCAGCCACGGTGCTTCTCATATTACCTCCTCCAGTCATCGCCACTATACAATGCCACTTCCTCTAGTCGTCTCCACCGCTGCTGCTCATTACTACTGCCACCGCTCATCATCGTCATCGCCATGCATGGATCAATATCAGGCTACTGCCAACGTTTCTGGAGAGCTCCCCAGTCTCCTCCTTGCATTTTTAACTCTCCCTTCTTTCCTTACACACTGACGCTAACTTGGAGAAAGAGAAATCACATCCACTGTGCTGTGTGACTATTTTAGAGAGAGAGAGAGAGAGAGAGAGAGAGAGAGACTGAGATTCAAGCGTTCGTACTCCATTAATGCTTCTCAGCAAAAAAGCGTGACCTGTTGCTTTTTCACAGAGAGTCCTGTTTCAAAATTTACCTAATCAAGTGACGCTGGAGATCTTCTCAAAGCTTGAGCAGAAGTGGCTCTCTCACAACATCGATGGAGGCGTAACCACTAGTTTTCTCGCTGGAGCCGCCTTGATACACTCAGAGGATCAGATCCGAGCTAAAATCGGCGATTCTCATTCTTGCATTGTTGGGGAATTGATGGACAACATGTGGTTCTGTGTTTCTAACCATTAAATTGATGTTTTATTTTTTTTCGAACACACCACACCTGAATCATATTTGTGTATGTATTTCTATATACATAGAGAGAGAGAGAGAGAGAGGGGGGGCCTTTTTTTTCCTGAAGGTTACAGGAGTTGTATGAGAGAGATGGTTTTTGGGAATTGAAAACATTAAATATGGAGAGAATAATTGGAGAGAATAATTGACAGAGCAAACAGGCTCTTTGTTTTCAATTGTTTTAATCCTTACGGGGAGACTCCATTTTATAGGAGTGATTATACAACATTTGCAAGACAATATAATAAAAAGCTACTAGACAACATAATGAAAGGCAACAATCATAATTAAAGGCACAACATATAAAACTAAAAGTAGCCGAAAGGAAATGGCACTAACTAAAGCAAATTGCACTATCTAAGGCATCTGATGACTACTAATGACACACAAATATAATATATACATTATATATATTATATATTATTAATAATGAAAAGAAGCTTGATTTCAAACAGGAATGGTTTGATTGTGGAGAGATGGAATGAGGTTTAAGTTTAGAGAGAGAAGGTTTTAGAGAGAGAGAGAGAGAATCAGACGGTTTTGTAAAGAAACCCTGCGGGAGACAGATACGTAATGCCATGAAGAAGGTTTTATACTTGGTTTGAATCACACGTGGAACAAAACACTCACCAAGAAAGGATCCTATACTTTTTAAGTGGATCCATTAAGTATTGTTTATTAAAGAGTGTTTAAATAAAAAAACGAGTGTTTTTTTTTTTAATTTAAATAAATAATTATAGACTTTTTTAATATATATTTTTTATTTATATTAAAAATACGTATAATCTCTAATTAAAACGAGAGAGTGAGCCAAAAAAAGAGACCAATCTGAGAGACAATAAATAATTGGAAAGATGAGTGTAATTAGGAATAGGAGTGTGGTCTCTAAAAAAAATAATAAAGCCACGTAGAATTATAGGTGGTTGCTGGGAGTTTGCTTAATTTAATAAGTTATTTTAATTTTTGGTTAGTTTAGTAGATTAAAATAATTATGTTTAGCAAGATTGTTAAATTTTTTTATAATTAGATATGATGTAACTTATTTTTTCTTAGTTTAGTAGATTAAAATAATTATGAATTTAATATTATTTTAACTTATTTTGTCTTTTAATATTATTTTAATCAAAAAAAATATATAAATACATACGACTCAAGATTTTTTTTGATAAATACACTAAAGTTTTTATATGACTCAATTCAACCACATTTTAAAATTTTAAAAATGTGTTAACACACATTTGTTTAATATTGTATTAGCAAATATTTTAAATTCTATATTTTTTTAGATGGTGAAATTCTATAAAAAGTTCAATAAAAATTTAAATACAAATTAATATTTTAACTTAAACTTTTAGCAATGAATTTGATAAATCATATTTTAACTTAAACGAACCGCCATCGTATGATATCTGTTGAAGTCACGGCCGGCGGTGGTGTTGTCGTAGATGGTGGTGGAAGTTTTATATGTGGAGTTTTATATTGTAGTGAAATTATAATCATTTTGAATTTATTTTTTTGTAAAGGATGTGAAACCAATATTAATAATTTATGTTAATTGATTTTTGTAAAATATGTGTACCAATATTATTTACCGTGCCTTCAAGCACGGGCATATGCTAGTATATATATATATATATTTCTTAATCACGTGTACATACATATATATATGTTTATATATATATATACAAATCCAAATCCACTTTTCTGATCATATACAAACCCAATTTACATATACAAATTGAAGCCCATTTTTCTTGATCATGTGTACACACACACACACACATATATATATATATATCAAACCCAATCCATATGTCATATACATATACATATATATATATATATATATAATTTTCTTGAACATGTGTACATACATGTATATATATCGAACGGCTTCTTCATATTCGGCGTTCGCTTGGCCTCTTTGATCTTGAACTTCAAGTACCTAAACATCTTGTAATTGATCTTCCTTTCCTCTTAACCTCCATCTTCGCCTTTGTCATTCTCTCTCTATTTGTATGTACATATATGTAATTGATTTTTAGGGAAAAGGGGTATTAGATTCTTCTTTTTCATTGTCTCCATTTTCTCTCAAAACACTCAAATTTCCCCAAATTACAAGCTTCAAAACCCTGATCTTCAACCAACCATAAAGAGAGAAATAGTAAAGAAAGAATGAAGAAGAATGGTATATTTTATAAATTTGAAGGTGAATAAGGGGTAATCTAGTCTTAAAAATTAACTTAGGCCTTGTTTGTCATGATCTAAAAAAGTCAAAAAGTCAAAAAATCACCATCTTATTTAAGTGACATTATCTCATTTAAGTCACATCGCTTTTATACCACATCACTTCAAACCCAATCCATATTTCATAAAAAGTTAAAAAGTGCACTTATTTAGATCATCTCAAACAACCCTTTACTCTCCTTCTAGATGCATGAGCCTCACATTCCGTTAATTTATATGGAAAAACTGACAGTACATTTTGGTCCAGAAATCACGTGGGAGTTATGTGGTGATTTTTGAATGTCAATGGGGGTAAACCACACTCGGCTCAAATCACAGGGGGTAATGTGAAGTTTGCCCTAAAATAAATATATCTAATTACATAGCTATACATGCTAAAATATAATTTAATTTGACATCAATTTATTAAAAGTGTGTGATTAATATATTATTTGGGACTAAAACAATACAACTATAAAATTATGATAAAAGTTTAGGCTATGTAGAAATATAAGCAAGGTGTGCGAGTTGG